GATTAAGACACTTGCTTAAGCTCCACAGCTAGTGAGGAGCAACGCTGGGGTTTGCACCTGATCAGTGTGACTGTCTTTACCCTGCCTGCATCCCAGTGGGGACAGCCTCCTGGGTTTCCTCTCCTGGAGAAATCTGGGCGGGGAGAATAGGAGGTCGGTAGAAAGGACAAACTCTGGGGAATGCCGAATTGTGGGACCAGGAGAGGCGGTACCCTTAGGGGCAGCATTATCCCTGGCCTGGACAGAGCTAAGCCGGTTCCGAGAGGGAGTGCCCTGGCGGGGGGCAGCCTGCTCCAGCAGTTGGGCAGTGGGGCACTGGGACCAGGCCACCGGCTTCTGGGGGTGATAAAGCCGGGAACCCAACTGAGACTACAGATCTGAAGGAGCTCTCTGGCCCGGCTGGCGGCCATTGTTCCCGGCCTCCAATCAGGAGCACCCACTTCCTGTTATTTTAGGCGGCAGGAAATGACCCCATCCCGCAGCCTGGGCCCCACCACATCCCTCCCTCAGCCCCAGCAGGGCTGCCCAGGCGCTGAAGACAGAGGCCCAACCTCAGGCCAAGGCCTGGAGATGCCCCTCAGCTGGACAATTATCACTACCTGGGTCCAGGGCCTTCCTCCTGTTTCAACTGCTTAGGCTTCAACCTGGCAGGCTTCCCAGAGGACCCAGGGCTCTGCTGGGGCTACCTCTGCCTGCCAGAGAAAAGATTATGGGGTCCCCAAGATCAAGATGCCCACACAGGCCAGTCATGGGAGGGAAGCAGGCCAGACCTTGTCACTGGCTGGCTTAGCCATAATTCAGCTTAGAGGTTTGGGGCACAGACTTCAGAGTCAGACAGATTTGAGTTCAAATCCTGCCTCTGCCAGTTGCTAGCTGTGTGAATTTAGGCAAGTGACTTCAGGCAAGTGACTTCATCTTCCTGAGTCTCATCTGTAAAATGGGGATAATGCTAGTCCCTACTCATGGGACTGTGGTGAGGAACAAATGAGACAATGCCCGTGACATGCTGAGCATTGTGCCTGGCACAGAGAAGGCCCTTAATGAGTAGGAGATAATAAGTCAGAGATAATTAATGGGAAATAACTTGGTTCACTGGGGAGTCTCTACCTGGCTCACATCATCTCTTACAACTGCTGAGGAGCGCTAGTAAGGGCAGCAATACCATGTTCCCTACGCCCTCCCAGGCTCTCTGCTCCCCTCAGGGCAGAGCTGCAGCTGAGAAGTGGTGGAGGAAACACTGAAGGCTGTGCCCCTGGGTGCCAGGCAGAGCTACCACCAGCCAACAAAGCTGCATTATCTGGGCCTGGCTAATTGGCTCCCTTACTAGCCCCAAGGCCCAGCAGGGACCTAAGGACATGGGTCCTAGCTGCCTGTGGCCTAACTTCCAGCCTGGGTCAGATGTGAGACCTGACCTGATGGCCCTCAAGTATGGCCATTCTAGTCTGGACCCGGCTTTCAGTCCCTTCCCTCAGCCCTTGCCCACTAGCCTGTTGGGAAAGGGGACCTGCGTTGGCCTAGTGTCCCTTCCACCTCATTTGCATATGCATGACTGCACATTAGGGGCTCATTAGAGGCCTCATTATTGGGCCCACCAGCCCAAGAAGGGACTAGGAAGCTGTCATTGGGAGGTACCAGCCAGCTGGCTGCTGGATGTATGGCCAAAGCCCCCTGTGCCAGTCTTACCAATGTCTATTCATCCTTTCAGATCCACCTCAAATGCTGCCTCCTCTGTGAAGCCTTCCACAAGCACAGCCCACTGCACACTATCACCATTATACCTGGTTCCCTGCAGTGAACACATCTGCCTCCCTGGCCAGCTTAAGACCTCCCCAAGGGTCAAAACTCCATCTGATTCACTTCTCTGCCATCCATATAGACTGCACTGAGCTGGCATACGGTGGGGCATCAGCATGGGTGTACTAGATACCCGGTTGCACCTGTTTCTTGGGTCTTCTCTCCTATTCCCAGTGTCCCACTTCAGGTATGGGGCCCCTCTGATCCCTGGATACACCCTAGCTCATGTCTGCCTAGAACTGCCCTCTCCCCTGCCTTCTTGTCCTATACTTACCTCCTGTAATTCTAATCAATCACATCTCAGGCTTCTGACAGAATTAAAAATAACAACAAAAAATAAATAGCTGGGCTGGGCATGGTGGCTCATGCCTGTAATCCCCACATTTTGGGAGGTCAAGGCGGGACGATCACGAGGTCAGGAGTTAGAGACCAGCCTGACCAACATGGCAAAACCCCATCTCTAATAAAAATACAAAAATTAGCCGGGTGCAGAGGCAGGCGCCTGTAATCCCAGCTACTCGGGAGGCTGAGGCAGGAGAATCGCTTGAACCCGGGAGGCAGAGGTTGCAGAGAGCCGAGATCGTGCCACTGCACTCCAGCCTGGGTGACAAGAGCAAGACTCTGTCTCAAAATAAATAAATAAATAAATAAATAAATAACAAATAGCTAGCATTTACTGAGCACTAACTATGTGCCAGGACCTAGCCTAAGTTCTTCTGTGTTCATCTAATTTAATGATGCCAATGTCTCCATGAGATAATTTCTAGCATTATTCTCATTTTACAGATGGGCAAACTTAAGACTTAGGTTAAGCAACTTACTGAGATCACACAGAGGTAAGTTACAAAGTGGAGACTTAAACTGTTTGATTCCAGAATCTACGCTCTTAAACAAATTGACTCCCAATTCCTGCTCCCACCCTCCTCTATATTTCATACCTCCCTGCTGGCACCGGTTGCCGGAGCATAACCACAATAATGGTAATAACACTTTATTGCAGGTGTCTGGTGTCTGCGTGCCAGATTCCTTGAGTTACATCATCTCTAACCCTCACATTAACCCCACAAGATTGACAATATTGCCCCTATTTTCCAGGGGCAGAAACCGTGGCTCCAGGAGGTAAGTCACTTGCTCCAGTCCAGTAGCCGGTACATGGCTAACTGGGATTTCCATTCAGGTTTTCTGACCTGAAAGCGGGCCCCACACTTGTCCTCTACTCCATGCCACCCTCTGTTACTGCTCAGTGTCCAAGTGTAAAAAGGAACTCAAAGGGAGCAGGGATCGTGTCACATGCTCTCGGAGTGTCAGGCCCATGCCTCAGACTATCACAGGGCACATGCTGTGAGCACATTTACTCCCACAAAGCCCCATAGAGGACTCCTGTCACCTTTGACTATTCTGTGTGGGGAACCGCCACTATCCTGATCCAGGTTCTCATGTGACTCCATCTAGATTCCTGTGTATAGAAGAGTCCTCCCAATGCAGGAAGCCTATATGCAGTCCCCCCACCGGCCTCTGACCCCGCCCCCCCCCCTCAACCCAACCTCCCCACTGCCCCCCGGAGAGCCAAGCATCTCACCCATGCTCTCATATTCAGTCTAGGCATCCTACCCAAGTATCCTAATTATAAAGTAGCCACAGCTCAGGCTCTCTGTATCCCAGTCACCACCCCCATTCAGGCCCCCAACTATACACCAGTGCCAGAGGGCCAGTAAGCTGAGGTTGGACTCAGGCTGGGCCTCCCTGGGTGTCCCCTCTCAGGCTCAGCCAAACCGGGACAGACCCAGCCATCCTTGTTTCCAGCCCAGCCTACAAGCCTCCTGAAACCCACCAGTCTGATGGTAGCCTCTCCTCCGCATTCTCCCAGATTCCACACCCAGACAGTCCCCTAGAAGCATCCTTGCTGGCATGGGGAGGAGCCCATCCACAGCCCATCAGCCCTACCTTATCCTGGGCTCTCTCCGCACCCACACCCTGTTTCATCCTGGGCCCACACCCCAAGGGGCAGGGAGGTGACAGGATTAGGCTCAGGACTCCATGGGGGTGTGGGGATGGAGCCACCTCCCCCCTGAGTCAATGGGAACAGAACTTGGGTCCTCAGTAATCATGTTCTTCCCTCCCCTTCCAGGAAGAAAGAGAAATCGCCTCCTTCCAAAACCAAGCCCAACCAGAAACCTGTCCCCACCCCCTCATCAGCTGCTCCCAGATCCGAATGGGATTTGCAGAAGTCCTAAGCACTGGTGGTTGGTGGGGTGAGCGGTGCGGGGGGAGCTTTGGTGGTCTGAGGTGTGGGCAGAAAGAGAAAAAGAGTAAGCGGGGAGGTCTCAAAGCCTCAGGTTGGGGAATGATGTGGCAGGTCCAGGGAATGCCGGCTTGGAGCCTTTACCTCATTCTCTAGTGAGAGATTCCGGCCCAGAGAGGCTGGGAAGGAGGGCAGGCAGGAGAAGCAGATTTACTTCTGTCCCCCTCCTCCCCGAATCGGGCTGGGTGGGCTCCAGAGTGGGCCTGGCTGCAGGGGAGGCGGCCCACTCCCCAGCTCCCGCCCTCGCCCCAAACAATGCCGCCTCCCCCTCCCCCTCGCCTTTATCCGGCGGGTTACTTGGCAGCCGCGGCTAGAGACCTCCCTCTCCCCTCCCCTCCCTGCTTTTCCCTCCCCGCCGGCCCGCAGCAGCAACAGGCCCTTTGCGCGGCAGCTGGACGGATGGGGTGGGGGCGAGGTCTGGGCCAGGGCCTGAGGGTACGGGCACTAAGGCCGAGGCGTCGGTATGCAGGGCCCAGGCCTGAGAATCTGGACCCCCGACACACTCAGGCTGGGGTCACATGTGCCACGGGGGATGGGGAAGGGGACGGAAGCCCTAGCTCGGTAGAAGAGGATCTTCAGGGCCCGGGGTGAATCGGGAAGGGATGTGGGGGCGGGGAAGCTGAGATGGCACTAAGCTGGGGCAGAAGGGTCACCCCAGCAACTCCCGCGCGGGGTCTCCGCGGTTCCCGACGCCCGATGCGTCCGGCACCCGGGGTGGGGGAGGGGGCAGCTGTCAGAGGATGCATCGGGAGCCGCCGCCGCCGCAGCCTTTATTTTTAAACTTCCAAGTGGTCAGAGGGCGCGGCGGCAGAGGGGTCCCCGCCCAGCCGGCCGGCCTCATCCTTGGCCGCCCCGCAGCCCCTCCATCTACCCCCATCTCGCCTCCGCGTGGCTCCCGGCATACCTGGGGGTGCGCCCGCCCCCAGCTCCGCACGCGGGCCGCTCTCCATGGCTGCGGCGTCACTGGGGGTCTCGGGGTCTCAGCGGGGGCGGCGGCGGCGGCCAGCGGCCAGGACAGGGGTCCCGCGGCGCATCACGCCCGGCCCGGCAAGCAACAACTCGGAGGCAGGGGCGCTCCGGGGAAGGTCGAGGCAGGTGGCCCGCGAGGCTCAGAGGTGCCGGTTGCCCACGGTCTCTCGGCTGCGGCCGCGATCCCGTTCCCTGCCCGGCGCCGGCCCAGTCCCGGCCTCGGTCCAACCCTATTGTACCGCCCGGGCTGGGCCTGGCCTCTCGCTGGCGCGTACCAAGTTCGACGCGGGGGAGTCCGCCCCAGCAGCGCCCCGGGACCCAGCCCCGCGCGCCCGCGCCGTCCGCGCCGCCCCCGCCCCAGAGCCCCGCGCCCGCAGCCTTCCGGCGCCTCTTCCACGGCCACGGCCGAGCGGGCGCCACGGCTCCAGGAGTTCGCCGCGCCAGATGCCTCCCCCTGCGTCCGCGCCTTGGTACGCGCCGCAGCGCCAGAGGACTATGTAGGGAGCGCTCGGGTGACTCACCCGCCGCGGGGACTGGGGGAGAGGGGGAGCAGGGCTGGGACTCCCCTTTCCCACCCTGGAGTTTGGGGGCTCTGGCGCTGGGGCTGAGAGGGCAGCTTCGAGTCCAAATTCTTTCTCAAACCCACCTAAACCAAAGCGGCCCGGGGGACGTCGGGAGGCATGAAGGAGAGTCACAAGGAGGCCCCCGAAAGGGCTTCGCTTTCTCTCCCTTGCTGATGGCTGGGCTGGGGAGAGGTCCTGGAGCCTTGCTGCCGCCCTTGCTCCAGCATCCTGGGCTTGTGTCTTCCCTGCTCCTCTGGGGTAATTACAGCCCTGCGCAGCTGCCTTACCCAGGTCTCTAATCTGCTGGGTCCCTCCCGGCTCCAAACTGGGTGGTCCTAGCCCTGAACCTCCCCCACCCCCACCAGACGACCCCGCCAATCACCCCAGAAGGATTTTCTCCCCGTGGTCTGTCGATGAGGGGGTGGCGACCCCCTCCAGAATCCACTCCCTAAAGTAGCCCTTCTTCCCAGCCCTCCAGAGTGGACTCCCAGCCCCCTTGTTGGTGCCAGCTGAGGTGAGGGCTTCAAGCCAAGCCAGGCCCAGCCCGGGGCAGAATGGGGAGCTTGCTGGGAAGGTGGATGGGTGATGGTGCTGCCGCAGGGACTTGGGTTGGTGGGGAGGAGGAGGGGCAGCTGGGCCCTGCACACCCTGGCCCTGCCCTTTGTCCTGACTTCTAGAAGGTCAGTTCTCTAGTTCTTCATTGTCCAGAGATTAGGCCCAGTGAGATACTGTCCCCCTTGCCCCCCTTCCCGCCAGTGCCTCCTTCCTTTTAGCAGCTCCAGAAAGCGGCCATTTGGAGGGATAGAGTGGGAAACAAAAGGGTCACCAGCTCAGGCAACCTGGGAGCAGCCTGTCCTGGGATGTGTGCATACCCGGGGGCTTGGACACTCTTGGGAAGGCCTGGGAAGGGAATAGTGTCCCCTCTGGCCCAAAAACATTAGAAAAGGATGATGATAGAAGGGCGGCAACTGGAGCCAGCAACCTTGAGCTAGTGACTTAACTTTTCTAAAGAAAACTAATTTGCTTTCCTACAAAATCAGAAAAATAATAGTGCTATGAGGTATCTTGGGGTCTTTGTAAAGATTAAATAAGGCAATGGAAATGAAGTGCTGAGCACAGAACCTGGCATCTAGGAAGTGCTCAGTAAATAAGTATAATGGTGATGAAGGCATTGATGAGTAAAAGTGGAAGGACGAGAAGCAGATCCCGCATCTTTGTGTCAGTCATCTTATCTGCAGGGTGGGGGGACTGCAGGGATGTTGGAGTTCATGACAGTCCTTTGTGAGGTCAGAGGCCTCACAGCCTGCCTCTTCCAGAGCTGGACAGGCCAGACCTGACCCAGGCAGTGGCCAGACAGCAGAATTCAGGAACATGTATGGGGAGAGCCCTCTGGGATGGTTCTTCTCCCACCTCCCACCCCTTGTCTTGAGATTACTGCAGGGATGAAGATAGATGGATGGATGGATGGATGGTTGGATGGGAGTAGTGAGATACCCACCATTGGCTACGGTTCAAGAATAGTGACTGGCTGTGGTGGCTCACACTGTAATCCCAGCAATTTGGGAGGCCAAGGTGAGAGGATTGCTTGAAGTCAGGAGTTCGAGATCAGCCTGGCCAACATGGTGAAAACCTGTCTCTACCTAAAATACAAAAGTTAGCCAGGTGTGGTGGTGTGCGCCTGTAATCCCAGCTACTCCAGAGGCTGAGGCAGGAGAATCGCTTGAACCTCGGAGGCGGAGGTTACAGTGAGCCAAGATCGTGCCACTGCACTCCAGCCTGGGCAACAGAATGAGACCCTGCCACAACAAAACAAACAAACAGCCAAACAAACAAAAAAAATAGTGGAGGCGGAAATGGCAGCTAAAAATGAACAGATAGGTCAGGCACAGCCCACGCAGGAGGACTTGAATGCCAAATGGCTTGGAAATGAGCATGGGGAGCTGTTGAAGATCATGAGGGTTTTCAGTAGAGGAAGGGAGAGCAGACTTTAGAACTGGAAATCTATTGTCTTCGAGATTGACTGTGGGGAGCTCACTAAAAAGAGACAGCGCGTGGTATTAGCCTATGTCAGGGGTTCTCAACCAAGGGTAATTTTGCCCCCCAGGAGACATTTAGCCGTGTTTAGAGACACATGGCGGTGTGTGGGGGGGTGTGTCTGTAAACATGGCAGCTACTGCGTAGAAGCTAGGGATACTGCTTACCATCCTACATTGCGTAGGACCATCCTCACAATAAGGAATTCTCAGGTGCAAAATGTCAGTAGTGCTAAGGTTGAGGAACCCTTCCCTAGCCTGAGGGTGAGGAACTCATAATATGTTGATTCTGGAGACCAGCAGAGCATCTGGGAGTTTGGCAGCTTAAATGACAATTCTCCTGGCCAGACCCGAAGGTTTCCTGCACTGCTGACGAGTCCACGGGGAGTGCGGGAAGGATGGCTGAGGGGGTGTCTGGAGAGCACCCATTTTCCGTGATTGAGACAGTTGGTGGACAGAGGAAGTGGACTCCTCTCCATTCTCCTCCTCACTGGCCAGGATCCCTGGCGGATCCCAGGCCCCAGCAACCAAGAGGGTTAAGAGTGGACGTCTCAGGCCGGGCGCGGTGGCTCAAGCCTGTAATCCCAGCACTTTGGGAGGCCGAGACGGGCGGATCACGAGGTCAGGAGATCGAGACTATCCTGGCTAACACGGTGAAACCCCATCTCTACTAAAAAAAAAAAACTAGCCAGGCGAGGTGGCGGGCGCCTGTAGTCCCAGCTACTCGGGAGGCTGAGGCAGGAGAATGGCGTGAACCCGGGAGGCAGAGCTTGCAGTGAGCCGAGATCCGGCCACTGCACTCCAGCATGGGCGGCAGAGCGAGACTCCGTCTCAAAAAAAAAAAAAAAAAAAAAAAAGAGTGGACGTCTCTCTGAGTTTGGGGCTAGGTGACGCTGCATGGGGCACCACAAATATTAGACATCCCGGAGAAGGAGCAAGTCGGGTACTTGTTGAAACCCTAACATAAGAGGCTGAAGTCCCAACAGCATTCTCTGCAGTCTTTGCAGGAGGGACAGGGACCTCTGGACCAGGGCAGTCTCCTCAGGGCAGGAGGAGATCGTGGCCCATGGCGGTCTCCTCCTTCTGCATGGAAACAGGCATGAGTGAGCTGTTCCTTTCCCTTTGGAAGGCTGATGCAGGCGGATTGCTTGAGCTCAGGAGTTCGAGAGTAGCCTGGGCAACATGGTGAAATCCTGTCTCCATCAAAAATACAAAAAATTAACTAGGCATGGTGGTGCGTGCCTGTAGTCTGAACTACTCAGGAGGCTGAGGTGGGAGGATCACTTGAGCCCAGGAGATCAAGGCTGCAATGAGCCATGTTTGTACCACTGCACTCCAGCCTGGATGACAGAGACCTTGTCTGAAAAAAGAGAGAGAGAAAAGAGAGCAAAAAAAAAATATTTTAAAAAAAGAGTATAATAGAAAAATTTGTGGCCAGGCGGGGTGGCTCATGCCTGTAATCCCAGCACCTTGGGAGGTGAAGGTGGGCAGATGACCTGAGGTCAGGAGTTCATGACCAACCTGGCCAACATGTCGAAACCCAGTCTCTACCAAAAATACAAAAACATTAGCCAAGCGTGGTGGCACATGCCTGTAGTCCCAGCTGCTCAGGAGGCTGAGGCAGGAGAATCATTTGAACTTGGGAGGCGGAGGTTGCAGTGAGCCAAGATCTCACCACTACCACTGCACTCCAGCCTGGGCAACAGAGCAAGACTCTTAAAAAAAAAAAAAAAAAAAAAAAAAAAAAAAAAAGAAAAATATGTTTCCATCCTGTTTCCCCTAGGGGAAGAAAGGCAAGGGCATTTTCAGCCTCCTAGGTTTGGTGCGGCAGGATCCGGGATGAACCTGATGGAGAGGTGAAGGAAATCACAGGGGGAGTTAACAAAGTTACAAATCTCATGACTGAGGCCCTGGATGCTGCTCCCACACCCACAGAGTACTGCAGGAAGTGGGAGGGGCCTCACAGTGGGGGCAGAGAGAATAGGCATCACATTCTCACTCCCACCCCAGCCTCAAGGCACTGCCCCAGCCTCAAGGGACTGCAGCAACAAGGGGTCTCTAACCAGCACCGGCCTTCCTGGGGGGCCACAGCCTCCGGGGCCCACTCCCTGGGGCTGGTGATGCCAACTGCCCCTCCCCCTCCAGCTCTTGGGGAGGCGGGGAACTCAGATACAGGACTAAATAGGTTCAACCCTTTGGGTTCCTAGGAGAGAGTCTTTGTCTAGAGCCCCTGATAGGAACAGAAAGCTATCCCTTGTGTTGTTTTCTAGGGAGAAGGAGAAGAGGGTGGCGAGGGGACATCTGGTGTTCCTCAATGTCCTGGCCCCTAGAGGTTGTAGGGAGGGTTTGGGATTTGGGAATGATGGAAACCGTAGGGAGAATCCTTGGAACAGCTGTCTAAGGAGTTTTGTTTGTTTTTTTGTTTTTTTTTTGTTTTTAAGACAAGGTTTCAGTTCTGTCACCCAGGCTGGAGTGCAGTAGTGCAAACATGGCTCACTGCAGCCTCCACCTCCTGGGTTCAAGCAGTCTTCCCACCTTAGCCTTCCTAGTAGCTGGGGACCACAGGTGCATGCCACAATGCTCAGCTCGTTGTTTTTTTTTTTAATTTTTATTTATTTTTGTTAGTAAAGAAACAAAAGAGTGACTATTTCATAACAGAACAGCCTTTTTAAAAATTATTTTTTATGGAGATGGGGGTCTCACTATGTTGCCCAGGCTGGTCTCAAAACTCCTGGGCTACAGTGTTCCTCCTGCCTTTGCCTCCCGGTATGCTGGGGTTACTGGCATGAGCCACTGTGCTCAGCCTAAGAAGGCTTTAAGAACCCATCTGAGTGAGGAGGGGATCATATAGATCATTCTGAGATGGCCCCCACCCCCACTGTTAATTCAGGACTAATGACATTGCAAGTCCCAAAGAGGAAGAGACGCCAAGTGGAGGAATCCCAGGCAGAGAGAGGCAAAATCTCAGAGGCTGTTGGACAGGCAGGGAAAGGCTCCACCTCCAGTCTCTCTAGAACCGCCCTGCTTGACAGCAGGCAGGGTGGGGTCGGGTGGCTGGCCGTGAGTATGACTCAGGTTTCTGTGGGCAGCCAAGGGC